TTCAAACACAAAAACACATGAATGATGTTTGTTTGAGATGAGGTGAACTGTTTTCTGAGGTGTTCTTTTCTGAGCTGGTGTTCCCCTACACATTTAAGAATCGTTCTAGGTTTAAAATGAGGCATTCTTGTATTTCTAACGGCAGCAATTACACAATGTTCACTTAGATCATTTGTAAAAACACCAAACCCAGTGTATTTATGCGGCATGCTTGTGATGATAAGTTCCAAGAGAGACTATTTGGCAGGGCACTTTGGATTAGACCTAGTGCATATGTGTCAAACTCAAGGCCCAGGGGCCAAATGTGGCCCTCGTCAACATCTTATCTGGCCCCCAAGATGTTATTTTAAATGTAAAATACTTTTATCACTTTATCTAAAAAAGTTAAATCTGGTCCTCTGGACATTCAAAAAAACAAAACAAAGCAAAACAACAAAAAAATGTAGAAATGTTTTGTCTCTCATCCGAGAGACTTCCTCAGTCTGAGGTGCTGTATTCAGCTCAGTCTCTTAAATAGCACCTTCTCAGAGTGGATCAACCAGTTTTGCTGCTGACAACCAAAACCAGCTGATCACATGCTCAAGAAGGACCATCAGCCTAACAATGGATCATTAGCACACTGATGGCTGTTTACTATTCACAGAGGGCTGAGTGATACTAGCAATCAGCATTGTAAGAGGGGGACAATTGAACACGTAGGCCTCCACCGCTGTTTAACGATGGACGATTTCTTTTCACAAAGGTGGCCCCCTTTACTCCTCTCTCAAACCATCGTTCCTCTCTATCCAGGATGTGCACATCTTCATCCCTGAAAGAGTGATCGCTGGCCTGGAGATGAGTGTAGACCACAGAGTCCTGGCCTGATGATGTTGATCTTCTGTGCTGGGCCATCCTTTTGGCCAGTGGCTGTTTTGTTTCCCCGATGTAAGACTGATCACAGCCCTCCTGACACTGAACAGCATACACAACATTACTCTGTTTGTGCCGGGGGACTGGATCTTTGGGATGAAAATCAGACACCACTCTGAGCAGCAGGACCACGCTTTCCACAGAACAACCATGTCAACTCTTGAAACTGTGCCTGCAGTCAACCTACTTCACATACGGGGAGCAATATTATAGGCAGAAACATGGGTATGCTATGGGGTCTCCTGTTTCTCCTATTGTTGCCAACCTTTACATGGAGGAGGTAGAAAAGAGAGCCTTGACGTCCTTTTCAGGGACACCACCAAGTCATTGGTTCAGGTATGTCGATGACACCTGGGTTAAAATTAAATCTCAGGAAGTCCAACATTTTACTGACCATGTCAACTCTGTGGATAAATACATCAAGTTCACACGAGAAGATGAAAAAATTGGCAAGTTGGCTTTCTTGGACTGTGAGGTCTCAGTCTCTGATAGAGGACATTTGCAAACTGAGGTGTACCACAAACCCACCCACACAGACCAGTATTTGCAGTTTGACTCCCATCACCCTTTGGAGCACAAGTTAGGAGTCATCAGGACTCTGTATCACAGAGCAGACAGCGTCCCCACTAGCTCAGGAGCCAGGCAGAAGGAGAAATCCCACACAAGACAGACTCTAGAGCAATGTGGATATCCTAACTGGGCCTTCCTAAAAGCAGAGAAGAAACCCAAACAGGACTCCAGTCAGCCAACAGGTGAAAAGGAGGAACCCAGACCCAGACCAGTGGTCATTCCATATGTTGAGGGAGTATCAGAGAAACTGAGACGTTTATTTTCTAAACATAACGTCCCAGTGGCTTTTAAACCCCAAAATACATTACGGCAAAGACTGGTTCATCCCAAAGATCCAGTCCCCCGGCACAAACAGAGTAATGTTGTGTATGCTGTTCAGTGTCAGGAGGGCTGTGATCAGTCTTACATCGGGGAAACAAAACAGCCACTGGCCAAAAGGATGGCCCAGCACAGAAGATCAACATCATCAGGCCAGGACTCTGCGGTCTACACTCATCTCCAGGCCAGCGGTCACTCTTTCAGGGATGAAGATGTGCACATCCTGGATAGAGAGGAACGATGATTTGAGAGAGGAGTAAAGGAGGCCATCTTTGTGAAAAGAAATTGTCCATCGTTAAACAGGGGTGGAGGCCTACGTGTTCAATTGTCCCCCTCTTACAATGCTGTGATTGCTAGTATCACTCAGCCCTCTGTGAATAGTAAAGAGCCATCAGTGTGCTAATGATCCATTGTTAGGCTGATGGTCCTTCTTGAGCATGTGATCAGCTGGTTTTGGTTGTCAGCAGCAAAACAGGTTTATCCACTCTGAGAAGGTGCTATTTAAGAGACTGAGCTGAATACAGCACCTCAGACTGAGGAAGTCTCTCGGATGAGAGACAAAACGTTTCTACATTTTTTTGTTGTTTTGCTTTGTTTTGTTTTTTTGAATGTCCAGAGGACCAGATTTAACTTTTTTAGAATTTTCTACCTGGATTATTGAGCATGCGTCAGGATATTTTATCACTTTAATTTTTTTTTCAGTATTTTTTGATTATGATGTCGAAAGTGGAACAGAGAACATCAAATGAGACCAATCAAACTCTTGTTGAGGAACCTGCAACCAAGAAAAGATGTTGGGTATCTAACTTGAGTTAATGTACATTCTGAAACTGGCCCTTAGTTTGAAAAAGGTTTTAATTTTGGCCCCCTTTTGTAAGTAAGTTTGACACCCGTGGCCTAGTGGGACTATCAATGCGCTGACTGAGGTTTGAGGATAAACAAAATTCTTTAAATTCCTCAGACACAGGAGAGAGCCAATCTAAATTTAAATCACCTACCAGAGCCATTTCATTGGAATATAAATTTGATAAGAGCTGCATTAAAGACAACAAGCTTTCAGATGTGGTGATAGGGGGGTCTATAGTAGCCAACAACAGATAACGATTGACTAACAGACAGTTCAATGTTTAGGGCCAAGATTTCAAATTGTTTAAGTACTAGTTTTGTAAATACTAGTTGTGTTACCAAGCTAGATCTGACGTATATTGCTACACCTCCTCCCCTTCTGGGACGATATGAACAATAAATATTGAAACCTTTAATTGGGTGCGATAGATGAAGCTTTTGTCCTTGGGTACTCATGTCCCATGAGAAATTTGATAGTCAGCCTGTCTCCGAGGCCATTGGGAGTCTGATTCAGATAAGCTTGATTTAGTTTTTTCTTCAGGCAGACAGATTTTTTTCTTCAGGCTTGAGTCCATCTGGGCGTTCTGGTTCCGAAAAAGCCTAATTGTGGGATTCCATTCCACTGATCCTTGCTGAGTCTCCTTCAAGGTCGAACCCACCACGCTGACGAGTCCCAGAAGCCGCAGGTGGTATGTGATTCTCAATCGCCTCCACCTTACGGTTAAGCTCGTAGACCAGACGATTTAAAGTTCCCACAGCGAGGACCAGACCTTCACGCTGACTCGGAAGCTTTTCCATGGCCAAAACTGCTCCCGCTGTCTTTTTCAAAAGTCGATAAAACAGAGCCCCGCCGATGCCAAAAAGCAGAGTCCCTGCTATCATAAGTCCAAATATGTAAACGTCTTCAACATCCTCTTGAGACAGGACTGTAATGCACATCGATTGCCACACTCCCCACGAATCCATGACGTACTCCACAGCGTGAGTCTCAGCTGGACACGCCGGTTTTCCAGGACCTTGACGTTTTGATGAAAAAATCTTATCAATAGAGTTGAACGCCCACGATACCAAATCCATAATCTTCTTAATTTATGTTCGGGAGATGAGACCCAGGCGCTTCAGACAGACAGAGAGCAGAGCAGGAAGAAGGAAAAAAACGGGGGAGGAGAAAATGAAGCTGCCACCTCGATCAGAGCCTGAGAGGAAAATATATAAGCCGTACCTGTGTATAAGCTACAGATGTTCACCTTGTAACGTGAGTGACAGCTCACAGCTACTGAGAGAGATGTGCAGCTCTTGTTGTAGATCAAGAATCAACCACCAGATGGTGTTTTATAGACTAACTGTTCAACACACACAGAGTGAACCCCACAGGTCTTCATGACAATGACCTCCCTCACTCATGGTTACTCTACTGAATGGACTAACACATAATGAACACATAAACTAGACTAACAAGAACAGACTAATCACTAAAAGATGAAAATTAAAAGTGATGAAAATTTTAGAAAAACAAAATAATTTAACAATTATGTTTAAAATACAGTACATTATGAATGATTAGTCTTCCATCCATCTATCCATCCATTATCTTTACCCACTTCTTTCTTTTTTGAGTCACAGGGGTCATTGGTGCCCATATCCAGCAGTCACTGTGAGAGAGGTGGGGGACACCCTGGACAGGTCTCCAGTCCATCACAGGAACACATAGAGACAAATGAGACAAACAGCCATTCACTCTCTCACTCACACCTAGAGACAATTTAGAGTTACCAATCAGTCTAACATGCAAGTTTTTAGTCTGTGGGAGGAAACTGGAGTACCCAGAGAAAACCAACGCAGCACGGAGAGAACATGCAAACTCCACCCAGAAAGGTCCCGGGCCGGGATTTGAACTGGCGACTTTCTCGCTGATTAGTCTTAGCATTAAAAACTGAATGATAAATTTTGATGTCAGGCCTTTAATGACCAAAATGTCTCAATGGCTTAACATATTTGTACTCTAAAGAGTCAAAATTTAATTGATGAAATAGTTTAAAAATGTTAAAACTATTAAGCAATACTGTTAAAGAAATTTCAACCTATGAACAGATAGTTCTGACTGAATGTTTTAGCCAGTTGTGAAGGCCCTGCTGGCTCTGACAGTCCACCATTTAAAACAGCACAAAGTAGTAAGATTTTTTAAAATATTTTGAAAAATAATAAAAACAAAAACAGAAACAGAAAAACATTAGTGTGTCTGTGTATAGTGAGTTAACATTCACAAATATACAGTATTCCATGCATAATTTCTGATAACCCTGAAAACATTTGCATTTAAAATGTTCTTTTTATCCCCCCCATTCTTTATTTTCCAGGTCAGAACATAAAACCATATACTCCCTGAGACCAGCACCTCACGGTGAGAGAAAAGAAGCTGATGCTGTGGAAGAAGCTGAAATCTTGATCAAGTCTTCCAAGAAAACAAAAGAGCCCTCCTTGTTCTGGGCCCTGTGTCTGACCTTCGGTCCCTACTTTCTCATCTCCTGCCTCTATAAGATCATCCAGGACATTCTCATGTTTGTTGGGCCTGAGATTCTCCGGTGAGGAATCGTTTTCTTTTTTTAAATCAAAACTTTAACCTCTTACCACCTCATATCATTTATATGAAATTTTATTGTATCATAAGCTACAGTGGCTAGAAAAGTTAAGTCAGGTTCTCTGGAGGGGTTCAAAAAATTAAACTAAAAACAATTTTGTTCTACAATTTTGTTATTAATTTTGTTTTTTGAACCCGTCCAGAGGACCCGACTTAACTTTTTTAGATTTTTCTACCTGGATTGTTGAGCATGCATCAGGATATAAGCTACAGTGATAAAAGAGTCCCCTTCATCAAAATACAAAAGCAGGTGGTAATTTCTTTTTGTCTTTTTGTTTACAAACTGGATTCCAAAAAAGTTGGGACACTAAACAAATTGTGAATAAAAACTGAATGCAATGATGTGAAGGTGCCAACATCTAATATTTTATTCAGAATAGAACCCAAATCACAGATCAAAAGTTTAAATTGAGAGAATGTATCATTTTAAGGGAAACATCTGTTGTTTCCAAATTTCATGGCGTCAACAAATCCCAAAAAAGTTGGGACAAGTCCATTTTTACCACTGTGTAGCATCTCCCCTTCTTCTTACAACACTCAACAGACATCTGGGGACAGAGGAGACCAGTTTCTCAAGTTTAGAAATAGGAATGCTCTCCCATTCATGTCTAATACAGGCCTCTAACTGTTCAATCGCTTTTGGCCTTCTTTGTCGCACCTTCCTCTTTATGATGCACCAAATGTTCTCTATAGGTGAAAGATCTGGACTGCAGGCTGGCCATTTCAGTACCCGGATCCTTCTCCTACGTAGCCATGATGTTGTGATTGCTGCAGAATGTGGTCTGGCATTATCATGTTGAAAAATGCAGGGTCTTCCCTGAAAGAGATGACGTCTAGATGGGAGCATATGTTGTTCTAGAACCTGAACAAAGTTCTCTGCTTTAATGGTGCCTTTCCAGACATGCAAGCTGCCCATGCCACAAGCGCTCATGCAACTCCATACCATCAGTGATGCAGGCTTCTGAATGGAGCGTTGATAACAACTTGGGCTATCCTTGTCCTCTCTGGTCCGGATGACATGGCGTCCCAGTGTTCCATAAAGAACATCAAATCGTGACTCATCTGACCGCAGAACAGTCTTCCATTTTGCCACACTCCAGTTTAAATGACCCCATGGCCCAGTGCAAACGTCTGAGCTTGTGGAGCTTGCTTAGAAATGGCTTCCTCTTTGCACTGTAGAGTTTCAGCTGGCAACGGCAGATGGCACAGCAGATTGTGTTCACTGACAATGCTTTCTGGAAGTATTCCTGAGCCCATTCTGTTATTTCCTTGACAGCGGCATTCCTGTTTGAGGTGCTGTGACGTTTCAGGGCCCAGAGATCACGAGCATCCACTAGAGTTTTACGGCCTTGGCCCTTACGCACAGCGATTGTTCCAGATTCTCTGAATCTTTTGATGATGTTATGCACGGTTGATGATGATAACTTAAAAGTCTTTGCTATTTTACGCTGGGTAACACCATTCTTGTATTGTTGCACTATCTTTCTGCGCAACAATGGTAGAATTGGTGATCCTCTTACCATCTTGGCTTCTGAGAGACACTGACACTCTGAGAAGCTCTTTTTATACCCAATCATGTTGTCAATTTACCTAATTAGTGTTAATTGGTCTTCCAGCTGTTCGTTATATGCTCAATTTCCTTTTTCCAGCCACTTATTGCTACTTGTCCCAACATTTTTGGGATTTGTTGACACTGTGAAATTTTGAATCAACATATTTTTCCTTTAAAATGTTACATTTACTCAGATTAAACTTTTGATCTGTCATCTGTTATATTACGAATAAAATATTGACATTTGCCATCCCCACATCATTGCATTCAGTTTTTTTTTTCACAATTTGTTTAGTGTCCCAACTTTTTTGGCATCCGGTTTGTATTTCTTTGTTAGCAAAACATCTCATGAAGTGTAGAATAAGTTTTGATGAAATTCTCTATTAATGGATGTAAATCAACAACTGGTCAACTTTAGAGTCAACAAAAGTTAAAATGAAAAGCATCACATAAATGGTTAAAACTCACTCATTATAACAAATACTAAGCTAAAGTTTGGTGTGGTAGTAGCTGAGATTCATGCAAAGTACATACTGACAGGGTTATACCTGTACCTTAAATAAAACACAGGGAGACAAGAATGAGATTTCTAGAACATATCTTTGCAAAGAGGGACAGCGTTCGACCGAAGTCTTAACAAAGTCCAACTTGTTTCAGCGTGCGTTCCTTTTTTATTCAGGCAAGTAGGAATGTCAAACATTCAGGCAAGTAGGAATGGCAAACAAGAAACACAAGATCTGGTGGTTTTCAGGTAACAAAGACGTGGCAGTTTCTATCAAAACAGGAACTGTGAGTTTCCAACAAGTCAGTAGAGAAAGGTTTCACAGCATTATAGAACAGTTTAAATGAGTATAAGTTTAAATGATCAATTGATAAAGTAAAATACTCTAACACATACATACAAAGAGCAATACTAGTTTACATTAGATCTTGCTTAACATTATTTTCAACAGTCAACCATAACGACTCTATCTTTGTCCTTTCTTCTTACACCCGACCAAGTCTGGCGTATTATGGTATAGTCTTTCTAAACTTTCTCTTGTCCCACCTATAACTTCTAATCCTCACAAGAGCACATGAAACTTGATACACATATGCCTCGTCACTAGACAGAGCTTCACATACACTTTTTATCACCCAGCTTCATGGTCAAGGTCACAAATCAAGGTCCAAGTTTATACAAGGTTTTTGCTTTTTTGCTACAGATTGCTGTATTAGTGTTTGATGATGTAATGGTGGTGGTGCAGAGGTTAGAGAAGGCAAGCCTGTGATTGGAATGTTGCTAGTTTGAATCCCCAGACTGTCAACTAAAATGTGGATGTAGAAGGTGATTCACCCAAACCTGCCTCCACACTCATTTGTCCCGCTTGAGTAAGGCCCTTAACTCCCCAGCTGCCTCCCCAGGCACATTAGCTCCACACAGAGGACTGTGGTAGATACATGGCTGCGTCAGGAAGGGCATCCGGCGTAAAAACAGTTACCAACTCTTTGTGCAAGTTCACTCACCATGGCAACCCCTGAAGAACAAAAATGTGTTTTGACAGGAGTATAGGGTAATCTGAATTCCAGTGTTTCCCCTAACATTATACAAGCAGGGCGCCCCGCCCTGTGAACAGAACCGAGCACCCTGCCTACCGTGGAACCCCCACTCGAGATCTGCCAGCACTGATGTAGGCGCTCATATGGAAGATATGAGTGCTCCGCCAAGGCAAGTAAACTAGGGAAAACACTGTCCTTCAGGGAACTTAAGTTTTTAACACTAAAATGGTACATAACAGGATCCAACAATGTTCAGTCAGGCCCTCTGGACGGTTTCTTCTTGTTGAAACGTTTCGTCTTTCATCCAAAAGACTTCATCAGTCTGAGAAGTCACAACAAACTTGGTCTTATATATAACACCTACACATAGTGGATCAACCAGTTTGATTGTGCTCAGATGGTTTCTGTAGTCTACCCTCTCCCCCGCCGGCTCGTTTGTGGCAGTCATGAACTTTGTTGTGGCTCCTCAGACTGATGAAGTCTTTTGGATGAAAGACAAAACGTTTCAGCAAAAAGAATCCGTCCAGAGGACCTGACTAAACTTTGTAGGATTTTTCTACCTGGATGATTGAGCATGAATCAGGATGTTAGTTGTTCACTTTTAGTGCTCCCTATAAAAGATATGGTTGTAATTTTCGACTGTATATTTTTTTTAAATGACTTAGTGATATGTGTCGAGAGGAGTAGTGGTGCAGATGTTCGAGAAGGTGGGCCAGTGATCGAAATATCGCTGGTTCATCTCCCATTACTGACGACATCAAAATGTGGGTGGGATTAGTGAAGCACCCACACCTGCCTCCACCTTCATTTGCCCAACTCTGGGCCCTTGACCAAAGCCCTTAAACCAACACTCCCCCCCCCCCCCCCCCCCCCCATCTGCTCCCCCACTTGCCCTAGATAGCAGCTCTCTTCTCCACACAGAGGGCTGTGGTAGCTCAGTGGTCCATTGTTGCGTCAGGAAGGACATCCAGTGTAAAAATAATCACCAAGTCTTCATGCGACTTAAGGCTCCAGTATACTGCCGCGTATGTACATGTGTACTGTACGCAGAGGGTTCAGACATGATACTCCAGCGTACACCCCGAGCAGCTGCAGAGCAGCTTTACAGACAAGGGGCGTTTACCTTCGGGACAAATTGAGGTCACCGATTGGTCATTGGCTGACATGCCTATTGGATTGATTGACAGGTCGGAAAAAAGAAAAAAAAAAGCAAGCGCTGGCAGCCTCCGCCGCAGCAGTGTTCTGTGTTTATATGTTGTTAATAAAAAGATCTAAAAAAAAAAAACAGATAGCACTGGCTCTACAGCCCACACATCAGACCAGCCCACCAGGAAATCTCCAGGCCCTCCCGCAGCCACGCTGGACCTGAGTTTAATTCGCTCGTGACAAATTCCTCCATTTCTCACCATTTCAGTCATGGCATCAACCGAGGAGGAAGAGATCACTGCCTCTTGACAAAAAATCAAAAGACAAGGCCAGATCAGAGATGAAGAAGGGGAATTTAATACATTGGTGTCGCATACAAAACAGTTTGTCACTGGGCAGTTTATTGTGCGACACCGCATACGCGTATGCGGTCATAAAAGTTTGAGCTTTGCACGGAGGGTACGCTGGGGGGTACGCATGTACCTCTGCGTACGTACGTGCGTACCTTTGCGTATGGATGTACGCGGCAGTATACTGGGGGCTTTAGTTCGCTGTTGCAACCCCTGAAGAAGGGAGTAGTTGAAAGAAGAAATGGTAAATGGACTGGACTTATACAGCGCCTTTCTATCTTATTTCAAGATACTCAAAGCGCTTTACACTACAATCTGTGTCCTCATTTACCCATTCATACAGCACTCTACTAGATCTCTACAAAGCTAATTGAACAAATCATTTTAAAGAGACTAATCAGAGCTTTAGATCACATTCATACACCGATGGGACACATATCAGAGGCGATGAGGGGTTCAGTGTCTTGCCCAGGGACACTTCGACATGTGACTGCTGGTGGATTCGAACCCCCAACTCTCGCATTGGAGGACGACTGCTCTAACCACTCAGCCACAGCCGCCCCGAACAAAGAACAAAACTTACTGATATGTGTCTAAGAAAGTATTATACAACTGATGCTTGTTTGTGTTTGACGTTTTCCTACGATCGGCTGTGTGTCGTTAAGTTTGTGAAAGCTGTGTTCACAAGTGCTTTTCATTAATCTGTTTTCATTTTGTGGATAAGAGCTTTGCTACAACATTAAAGAATAGTTGAAATAATGCAAATCATTTATTTGTCTTTTAATAAGTACATAAGAATGCATTAAATTATAGTAATTTCATTTTTTTTGTCTCTTAAGCAAGCCTGTCTGTAAGTTGTGCCTGTGCCACCATAGCTTGGTGGATAAAATTGATCCCTCCACTTGCCTGGATCCATCACTCTGCACCATCTCGGACAAAGGAAAAATGCAGTTTTTCTACACAAGGAGTGTAACTCCTACCCACTTTAATATCTTTCACTTAAAACGAGAAGGTTTACTTGCATTCCCTGTTCAGTTTTATTCCAGAAAAACACTCATCTCGAAAACCACAAACATTCACTGTTCAAATCCCACAGCAACTGGGACATGGGTGTACCTCCATAATGTTTCCTCTGCTCCCTTGTTTTTACAGACTGCTTATCCACTTTGTGAATGACTCCAGCGCCCCCTCCTGGCAGGGCTTCTTCTACACAGCTCTACTCTTCATCTGTACATGTGTGCAGTCACTGATTCTCCAGAAGTACTTCCATGTCTGCTTTGTTTCAGGCATGCGTCTGCGCACCGCCATCATTGGCGCCGTCTACAGGAAGGTTAGAATCTGATGAACATATAGAAATAAAGTACATCCTAAAAGAACAAAGTTAACATTTGAAATTGATAATTATTTTAGTCTTTGTGACTCTATAGTTGGACTTTAACCTTTGAAGGGACTTTGCTCTTTCAGGCCTTGGTCATCAGCAATACAGCTCGCCGCACATCAACAGTGGGAGAGATCGTCAACCTGATGTCTGTGGATGCTCAGCGCTTCATGGACCTCATTACTTACATCAACATGATTTGGTCTGCTCCTCTGCAGGTGGTGCTGGCCCTCTACTTCCTCTGGCAGGTAGTCCTGCTGCACATAGCTGTCCTTTAACTGGTCTTAAAAATAACTAGAACAAAGTACATTTTGTGTGAAAATGCTGTTTAAATGATGATTTTCCTGAAGAAGCTATAACTGAAATTGTATTGTAAAGAAGTGCAGAACATGTGCAGAACACAAGCTAAAAGCAGAACACAGTATTTAATAAAAAGTGTATGTTAAAGATTGAAACACAGCTGAAGTTGGGTGGAGGTGGTATGCCACTGAAGGCTCCACAGCTTGAGGTTCGGTCAGGCCCAGCTCACCCACCCCTCTAACTCCATCTAGGAGCAGCCAATCACAGCTTATTTCCCTCATGCAGCTAGTAGGTGCTTGTGTCAAGGCTGGCGGGAGCTTCTTGCCATCATACAGGTCCTATTTTATCCTCTTTTCCATCCTGAGCTGCAGGCTACTGGATACTCTGTTTAGAAGCAACATTATACATGTCGGTGTCCACAGGAGATGCCATACCAGCCCAGCTGAGTGGCCTTGAGTGTGGGGCCAGGAAAATGGAGTTGTCCTCCTTTTCCTCCAAGCTGTCCATATTGAGGAGGTTAGAGTGGGCATCACTCTCTGCCTCATGACCCGTCTTGTCTTCCCCACCGTCGACCAGCCCTTCAGACAGTGGTGCCATGATTGAGAATCTTCCATCAGGTTCGCTTGTGGTGGCTCGTGGCTGATCACCTGCAATCAACGTTGCAGACAGACACGGGCCCTGGCTGTTTGTATAAATGCCCTTAAACTCCTAGATATGATTGTTTACTTCACGAAGGAGCGGTGTGAACACCTGTGGGGTGTCGGAGATGCTTATGCAAGTTGGGCACCCATGCACGCATTACACATTGGGCGAGGGTTCTTAACCAGGATGAAGGCCTTGCATGACACTGGGTACAGATGGAATACAGCCTTCTTGACTTTTAGTTACGAAGGTGGAAGTTGCAGCTCTAGCCATGTCACAAGATGGGAGGTATAACTTGTGAAAACATTAGCTTTTGTCCTTGCAAGCACTAGCTGTGGGCTCAAATTCTAGCTAACCATGTAGTCTATATCAGTTAGCTGTAACATGTTCTTTGAGGTTCAAACCATCTGACTAACATTCTGATGCTTTGCAGAAAAGAAGCCAAGCTCACCATGACATTTTAGCATGTTTCACCTTCTGTTAATTAAAACTGAGCAGCAGCTGGAACAGCTCACCTTCACCCAGTCACTGCTACTAATGATAGTGTAATGAGGATACTCACAAAGCATCAACTTACTCAGCAAGATCCAGACTCAAGCCATCAGCCTTCAGCGATGCACTCCTTTATTAAACACCTGTGAACTGTTAGCAGCTAGCCAAGCTGGCCTGAATGTGCTGAAGGAGCTTAGTTGTAGCAGATCACAGGAAGAGAGAGAGTAAAGTAGGTGGTGATGGGTTGTTCATGACTACATGAGGTTGGGTGTAAACTGAGCACGGTTCAACTGATGTGTCTCAAACAGATGTTTTGTCACTGGAGCTTCCATAGTTGGTCACGACGAGGCCTTTCTCATATTGAAACCCCAAGCAAAGTTAGAAATCTAAACAAAAGTTGTAGCACCCATTTCCCGAATTAACTAAACGTTTTGATATATAAATGGCAAATAGCATTAATAATTACGCAAAATTTGTTTGCCAAAAAAACAGTAAAGTCCAAGTGTAAATCCAACAAGGTTAGGTCAGGTCCTCAGGACAGTTTCTGTTTGTTGAAATGTTTCGTCTTTCATCCGAAGACTTCAACAGTCCAAGGAGCTACAACAAACTCAGTCGTAGATATAACACCTTTACATAGTGGGTCAACCGACGGGAATGGTGGCGCAGAGGTTAGAGAAGGTGGGCCTGTGATCGGAAGATCGCCGGTTCAAGCCCCGGTACCGACAACATCAAAAATGTGGGTGGGGTAGGTGAAGCACCCACACCTGCCCCCACCCTCATTCGTCCCACTCTGGGCCCTTGAGCAAGGCCCTTAACCCCCACCATCTGCTCCTCCGGGTGTCCTAGACAGCAGCTCTCTGCTCCACACAGAGGGCTGTGGTAGCTCGGTGGTCTGTGGTTGCGTCAGGAAGGGCATCCAGCATAAAAATAACTGCCAAGTCTTGGTGCGACTTAGTTCGCTGTGACGACCCCTGAAGAAGGGAGCAGCCGAAAGAACAACAAACATAGTGGGTCAACCCGTTTGATGGTGCTCAGATGGTTTCTGGAGTTCGCCCTCTCCTCCACCAACTTATTTGAGTCAGTCATGGCCAAAGCACTTGATTAAGTGCAGCAGTCATGACTTTGCCATGAGCCATGACTGCCTCAAACAAGTTGATGGAGGAGAGAGCGGACTCCAGAAACCATCTGAGTACCATCAAACTGGTTGACCCACTATGTGCAGGTGCTATATATAAGACTGAGTTTGTTGTGGCTCCTCAGACTGATGAAGTCTTTTGGATGAAAGACGAAACGTTTCAACAAGAAGAAACCGTCCAGAGGACCTGACTGAACTTTGATGGATCTAGCTACCTGGATTACTGAGCATGAACTTTGATACCTAGTGGAAGTGCTGACTCAGCATTCACGCAACAAATATAACATTGATAGTTACCGTACAATTTGATATTTCATTTAATATTTTAATTTGAAAGCTAAAATCAAAAGATCAGTATTTGTAGTGATGTCTGCTTTGTGTTGTTTTTGTGTTGCTGAGCAGAACCTGGGTCCGTCCGTCCTGGCTGGAGTGGCTGTGATGGTTCTGATGGTTCCCATTAATGCTGTGATTGCCATGAAAACCAAAACATACCAGGTGCAGCATCATACCAGTTGCAGTTTTTTTACTTTGTGTCACTGAGGATACACTGTTAACCCTGTTTGATCTTTTGTACGTATGTCGAGCAGGTGGCTCAGATGAAGAGCAAAGACAATCGCATAAAACTGATGAATGAGATGCTGAACGGCATCAAAGTTCTGAAGCTCTATGCCTGGGAGCTGGCCTTCCAAGGCAAGGTGTCAGAAATCCGCGAGGGTGAGCTGCGAGTCCTAAAAAAGGCTGCTTATCTGGGTGCAATGTCCACCTTCACCTGGATCTGTGCGCCCTTCCTGGTGAGTCAAAACACAGAGTGATAGGCCTGCAGCATAGGAGTCAAATGGAGTTCATAGTAACTTTCTAAAATTTGGAAATATTGTTCAAATTATTGAAAAGTGCTTCCTCTCTCCTTATAAAGGTTGCCCTGTCCACTTTCTCTGTGTACGTGCTGATTGACGAGCAGAATGTGCTGGATGCCCAGAAGGCCTTTGTGTCACTGGCACTCTTCAACATTCTGCGTTTTCCTCTGAACATGCTGCCAATGGTCATCAGCAGCATGGTGCAGGTTGGTGTGCCTTCACCTCATCAAATAATCTAAAACAGGGGTGCCCAATACGTTGATCGCAGTCTACCAGTCGATCGCAAAGGGATTATGGGTAGATGGCATGGTATTTAAAAAAATAAACATCAGCCTATCATCCATCTATGAAATTTGTCTCATGATTGACAAACAGGCAGTCAGTCTGAGGCCCCGTTTACACGACGGGAAACGTTCGGCTGTTCATTTACAGACAACAGCCTCGTTCTCTCTGAAACTGAAAGTTTCTGAATCCAGGTCTCAGAGTGGGGACTTTTAGGGGAACCCCCCCACGGAGGTGGCTGCAGTTCAAAGTTTTTCTGCACTAACAACAGTTATAATAAATGGCAGAGACAGAGAACAGAGTGATTTTGTGCTGCTCACCCTTTTTCAGCAAAACTAATAAAATCCAGGCTCCAAAAAAACATTAGTGTCTTCACCAGTTTGGACACAGCTATCATGCAGATGCTACATTAGCAGTGATTAAGGGATAGGTTTAGGGAAAGAGGTCCTTTACCTGGACGGACGGACAGACAGACAGACAGATGGATGCATGCATCAGGGTTGCCAGATAAATTTAAAATGTCTTATTTACCCCCTACTTTTCTGTGCACATGTTCAACAAACACAAAACACACCTCACCTCAGAATATCTTTACTCAGCACATATGACAGTTTAGGTATACTGTATATAAATACTATCATTTTAAAGCCACAGTACTTCATAATTTCTTATCTGGCAACCCGACTGACATGGAAACTACAGCGTTTTAGTGTAAATACGCTCATTTTTTGTTTATTACCCCCAATAATCATTGGGAAAAAACTAACGTTTCCAGAGGTTGTTCTCGTGTAAACAGGGCCTTATAGCAGGTAGATCACTTTGACTTATTTCAAAAGTAGCTCGCATGCTGAAAAAGTCTGGGCACCCCTGACCTAAAGGATGGAAAAAGTCCAATGTTTTTTCCAGATGTGATAAAAATCACAGCTAGATAGATGGCTGAATGATACTGTATATAGATTTTTTTATACCTTTTTATACCTTTATTTTACCAGGAAGAAATCCATTGAGATCATCAATCTCTTTTACAAGGATGTCCAGATGGATGGCTGATGGATAGATATATGGATGATAGACCAATGGATAGTTAGTTAGTCAGTCAGTCAGTCCCAAGGGAGAAATTTGATGCATTTAGTAGCATTTTCTAATTACAGTAGTTCCTTGTTTATTGCAGGATATCTGTACCCTGAAGCCCCACAATAAGTGAAAAACCGTGGCGTAGGGATAGTAGTACAAGTAGTAAGTAGTAGTTTACTTTAGTGTATGCTAATGTAAATGTATGTATGTATGTATGTATATATATATATATATATATATATATACAAACCGGATTCCAAAAAAGTTGGGACACTAAACAAATTGTGAATAAAAACTGAATGCAATGATGTGGAGGTGCCAACATCTACAAACCTGATTCCAAAAAGTTGGGACACTAAACAAATTATGAATAAAAACTGAATGCAATGATGTGGAGGTGCCAACATCTACAAACCGGATTCCAAAAAGTTGGGACACTAAACAAATTGTGAATAAAAACTGAATGCAATGATGTGGAGATGGGAAATGTCAATGTTTTATTCGTAATCTAACATAGATGACAGATCAAAAGTTTAATCTGAGTAAATGTAACATTTTAAAGGAAAAATAAGTTGATTCAAAATTTCAGTGTCAACAAATCCCAAAAAAGTTGGGACAAGTAGCAATAAGTGGCTGGCAAAAGGAAATTGAGCATATAACGAACAGCTGGAAGACCAATTAACACTAATTAGGTCAATTGACAACATGATTGGGTATAAAAAGAGCTTCTCAGCGTGTCAGTGTCTCTCAGAAGCCAAGATGGTAAGAGGATCACCAATTCCACCATTGTTGCGCAGAAAGATAGTGCAGCAATACCAGAATGGTGTTACCCAGCGTAAAATAGCAAAGACTTTTAAGTTATCATCATCAACCGTTCATAACATCATCAAAAGATTCAGAGAATCTTGAACAATCGCTGTGTGTAAGGGTCAAGGCCGTAAAACTCTACTGGATGCTCGTGAACTCCGGGCCCTGAAACGTCACTGCACCTCAAACAGGAATGCCACTGTCAAGGAAATAACAGAATGGGCTCAGGAATACTTCCAGATAGCAATGTCAGTGAACACAATCCACCGTGCCATCCGCCGTTGCCAGCTGAAACTCTACAGTGCAAAGAGGGCCAGGGGTTGTGTGATCAGATGAGTCACAATTTGAAGTTAAGTTAAGAAATATTAGATGTTGGCACCTCCACATAATTGCATTCAGTTTTTATTCACAATTTGTTTAGTGTCCCAACTTTTTTGGAATCCTATTTGTAATATTTTATTCAGAATAGAACACAAATCAAAGATCAAAAGTTTAAACTGAGAGAATGTATCATTTTAAGGGAAGAATCTGTTGTTTCCAATTTTCATGGCATCAACAAATCCCAAAAAAGTTGGGACAAGCCCATTTTTACCACTGTGTGGCATCCCGCCTTCTTACAACTCTCAACAGATGTCTGGGGACAGAGGAGACCAGTTTCTCAAATTTAGAAATAGGAATGCTCTCCTATTCATGTCTAATACAGGCCTCTAACTGTTCAATCGTCTTGGGCCTTCTTTGTCGCACCTTCCTCTTTATGATGCGCCAAATGTTTTCTATAGGTGAACGATCTGGACTGCAGGCTGGCCATTTCAGTACCCGGATCCTTCTCCTACATAGCCATGATGTTGTGATTGCTGCAGAATGTGGTCTGGCATTATCGTGTTGAAAAATGCAGGGTCTTCCCTGAAAAAGATGACGTGTAGATGGGAGCATATGTTGTTCTAGAACCTGAACATAGTTCTCTGCATTAATGGTGCCTTTCCAGACATGCAAGCTGCCCATGCCACAAGCGCTCATGCAACCCCATAAATGGTAAATGGACTGTACTTATATAGCGCCTTTCTATCCTATTTCAAGATACTCAAAGCGCTTTACACTACAATCTGTGTCCTCATTTACCCATTCATACAGCACTCTACTAGATCTCTACAAAGCTAATTGAACAAATCATTCTAATGAGACTAATCAGTGCTTTAACTCGCATTCAAACACTGATGGGACACACATCAGAGGCTATGAGGGGTTCAGTGTCTTACCCAGGGACACTTCGGCATGTGACTGCTGGTGGATTTGAACCCCCAACTCTTGCATTGGAGGATGACTGCTTTAACCATTCAGCCACAGCTGCCCACTATCCCCATACCATCAGTGATGCAGGCTTCTGAACGAAGCGTTGATAACAACTTGGGCTATCCTTGTCCTCTCTGGTCCGGATGACATGGCGTCCCAGTGTTCCATAAAGACGTTCAAATCGTGACTCATCTGACCACAGAACAGTCTTGCATTTTGCCACACTCTATTTTAAATGCCCCCTGGCCCAGTGCAAACGTCTGAGCCTGTGGAGCTTGCTTAGAAATTGCTTCCTCTTTGCACTGTAGAGTTTCAGCTGGCAACGGCGGATGGCACGGCGGATTGTGTTCACTGACAATGCTTTCTGGAAGTATTCCTGAGCCCATTCTGTTATTTCCTTGACAGTGGCATTCCTGTTTGAGGTGCAGTGACGTTTCAGGGCCCGGAGATCACGAGCATCCATTCGAGTTTTACAGCCTTGACCCTTAGGCACAGCGATTGTTTCAGATTCTCTGAATGATTTGATAACGTTATGCACGGTTGATGATGATAACTTAAAAATCTTTGCTTTTTTACGCTGGGTAACACCATTCTGGTATTGCTGCACTATCTTTCTGCGCAGCAATGGTGAAATTGGTGATCCTCTTACCATCTTGGCTTCTGAGAGACACTGACACTCTGAGAAGCTCTTTTTATACCCAATCATGTTGTCAATTGACCTAATTAGTGTTAATTGGTCTTCCAGCTGTTCGTTATATGCTCAATTTCCTTTTTCCAGCCACTTATTGCTACTTGTCCCAACTTTTTTGGGATTTGTTGACACTGTGAAATTTTGAATCAACATATTTTTCCTTTAAAATGTTACATTTACTCAGATTAAACTTTTGATCTGTCATCTATGTTATATTACGAATAAAATATTGACATTTGCCATCTCCACATCATTGCATTCAGTTTTTATTCACAATTTGTTTAGTGTCCCAA